TCTCTTTCTATCAACAGCAAACTTGATATGTTGGTACGTAGTTCTACGCGACGCTACGTACACGTTCGTGAGTAACTGCGCTCAAACTCAGAACATCAACTTGATAAGGTCGTTGATGAATACTTTAGTTATTCCAACGTGCAGTAAAGCATCCTTCCCGACCAGGGCGACAAGTAGAAAACCAACACGCCCATCGTGGTCGACTGAGATCGCAACCTGCAGATGGGAATGTAGATTACAATTTAACGAAGCAAAGAGATCCAACTCTTGGAGTGAATTTAAGGACTATCGACGCCTTTTTAAGCATGTAGTCAGAAATGCTAAGCGTTCCTCATGGTAGGCTCTTCCCAGGCCAGCAGACTTGGTAAGACATTATCAACGTGTCCTTGCAATAGAAGCTTCCCTATGAAAGGAGATGGGGATCGGACAGCAGGCAGCGAAGAAAAATTGGAGTTTCTAATACAAACGCACTTTCCGGGCTGCCTCCGGAGAAAAGTTACCAACACTCAACTCGCGGGCAACAACGATGACCTCCCAACCAACTTTAGTACTGAGGAGAACATTAAACGGGCTATTAACAGCTTCCAACCGTATAAGTCTCCGGGACCAGACTAAATCATTCCCGCTGACCTACAGCATACAGCAGAACTGATTGCACCCATTCTTGTACTCGTCTTTGAGGCAGCGTTACGACTTAATTATGTACCCCACAAACCCCGACGATTTTGTAATAGCTATCTCGGGCCGATATAATTCAAAAATCTCCTAACAAACTATCAATATGGTGCAACAGGCGAGGACTGGGAATAAATCCTGAAAAGACGGACTTAGTGCTCTTCACTAGGAAGCACAAGATATCCGACCTAGATGCTATAACTCTAGAAGGAAAAACTCNGCGGTAGTTAGGCCAATTCTCTATCATGGCATAGTGGTATGGTGGGACACCTTTGGGAAAGGGGTAAGGTCCAACTGCAAGGCCGATGAACTGGTGCGACTTGGCACCAAACTCCCTATTGAGCATATAAACGATGAAATAGGAATACCTTTACAAACTTGCAAGCTACTTATCTCCGAGAGGCTCACTAAAGTAGCGAACAACAGGTGGCATGACGAAAACACCTGTAAAACTGCCATGACACTATGGCCAACGCTCAGCGCTAAACGCACTGGCTTGTGAGAAAGCTTAATATTTGTCCCTCTTAGAAGCTTTTGAAAACAAAATTTTAAGCAAACCAGCTCGCTCATCAACTACATAATGAAAGAGTTTTCTGCTTCAGGCAAAATTCTAGAAACAAGACATAAGTACACGATTGTTGTGTGAAAATTGTACAAATATGTACGTATATTTTTTAGAAATATTTTGAGTATGCAGGTTTGCAGCACATTAAATTTTTTTATAATAAAGTGCAAGTTTAAAGTAGCTCCGACTTACCGTTGATTTTTGGATTTTTTTTTTTGTTGAGTGAGTGACTCATTGCCGCTGTCACTTGCACTCAGTGAGCAATACCGGCAACAAAACAAATTCCCAAAAATCAACGGTAAGTGGGAGTTACTTTTAACTTGCTTAAAATATATTCAATAATTTTTATCGAGCTCGAGGCCGTTTTTAATGAAAAACTTACTGTGGAAAAGCAACAATACTTGAAAAAATGGTAGAAGTGATAGCTATTTCGGAAATCACCACAGTGGGATCGTCGGTTCGAAGCCTACTGAAAGAAGTCTGATGAGGAAATGTGGTGATTTCCGAAATAGCTATCACTTCTACCATTTTTTCAATTATGGTTGCTTTTCCACAATAAGTTTTTCATTAAAAACGGCCTCGACCTCAATAAAAATTGTTGAATATAATTGTTATACGGCCATAAAATAACAAAAACAAATTACTTAAAATATTTCTAAAAAATCGAATTAAAAATTTTTTCAAAATATGAGTCGTAAAGTTATGATATGCACTATATATCTGAAATTTGTAAAAAAAATGAATAGTGAGTTCATCTCTTGTTAGGCGTTTGGCGAAGCTTCTCTAACAATCCTTGAGTGATAAAAGCCTATTTATAAATATAAATAAAGTTTCGATTTGAAAAATTAAAAAAAAGCTAAGTGAGCGTGCGTGAACGTGATTGGAAAGAATATACCAGAACGTGAGTGTACGTGATTTACAAAACCATCAACGTGAGCGTGCGTGAACGTGAGCCAAAAGCACTCACGCGTCGATCTCTAATGTGTATATCCCAAATTTATACGGGATCTTATAAATTTTTAGCAAGAACCCACATTTTGCATCAATTTGCAGCGAAGAAAAACAAAAACAAAACACAGAGACAGAGAACTGTCTAGTCGTATTAAGAATGTAAGCATGGGAATGGGGTAATTTGCGATCGTAATTGGGGGAGCAAAGAAAGTAATTCAGGATGGTGTGGGAAAATGGTATTATTAGAGAGCATTATCTGTAAAGAAACAATGCTAATGAATTTTAAATGAATCGATTAAAAAAGAAGTCGAAGGGTCTATATTTTATTCTTTCCGTCATATTACGTTCCATAGAAATGCCCATGATTCAATAATACAAGGTTAGATAATTATTAATATATAATGTATTATTGAATCATAGAAATGCCATAGAAATAAACAATTGTTTTCTGTTTCATTTTAATGACATTTGACAGCAGTTACGGTGCAGGGGAAAACTCACATAACCTCACAAAGTATAGTTCTTGTCATTCCAACTTCTTTTGACAACGGTCAGCCGCACGCGAATATTGCACAAGTGATTTCAATTAGGTGTGAAAAAGTTGAATAAAAAATTAATAAAAATGTTTGGAGGACAACAACCTATACTTGTGTTAAGTAAGTCTGATCAGTTTACAGCTATTCGAGTTTAAAATTACTAACATCTTTGCATATAGGCCAAAACACAAAGCGTGAATCGGGTCGCAAGGTGCAGCTGGAGAATATCAATGCCGGAAAGGTGAGTTCAGGCGTGACTCATAGCAGTATACTAATTTTAAGTGAATAGTCTTGAACACATGATAATATACCGAATATATTTTCCTATGAAAGGCTATTGCTGATGTTATACGCACCTGCCTAGGTCCACAGGCTATGTTAAAAATGCTTATGGATCCCATGGGAGGCATCGTAATGACAAATGACGGTAATGCCATCTTACGTGAAATTACGGTTCAGCATCCAGCTGCTAAGAGCATGATTGAAATTGCCCGTACACAAGACGAAGAGGTGGGCGATGGTACAACTTCTGTAATTGTATTGGCTGGTGAGATGCTAGCTGCTGCTGAGCAATTTTTGCAGCAACAGATTCATCCTACTGTCATAATTCGTGCGTATCGTGAGGCATTGGAAGATATCATTAAGCACTTACAAACGGACCTGAGTGTTCCACTGGACGTAAATAACAAGGATAAAATGGCTGAAGTTGTTAAGACATGCGTGGGCACAAAATTTATTGGAAAGTGGTCTGATTTAGCTGTAAAAATCGCGCTGGACGCCGTTGGTACTGTTGCGTTAAATGAAAATGGCCGGCTAGAGGTTGACATTAAGCGGTATGTTTATATCTAAATACATTTTCAATTTATAATCTCACGTAATTCTATATAATTTTAGATACGCCAAAGTTGAGAAAATTCCAGGTGGCAGTATCGATGAGTCATGTGTACTTAAAGGTGTCATGATCAACAAAGACGTTACACATCCCAAGATGCGTCGTTACATTGAAAATCCACGCATTGTGCTGTTGGATTGCTCACTTGAGTACAAGAAAGGCGAATCTCAGACAAACGTCGAGATCATTGGTGAGCAGGATTTCACACGCATGCTCCAAATAGAAGAAGAGTTTGTACAACGTATCTGCGCTGACATCATTGCTGTCAAACCAGACATTGTGTTCACGGAAAAGGGTGTGTCCGACTTGGCGCAGCACTACTTGTTAAAGGCCGGCATTACTGCTATACGCCGTTTGCGCAAAACAGACAATCTGCGTATTGCACGTGCTTGTGGAGCTACAATTGTGAACCGCACAGAAGAATTGACGGAGAAAGATGTCGGTACTGGCGCCGGACTTTTTGAGATCAAGAAGTTTGGAGATGAATATTTCACATTTATAACCAACTGCAAAGATCCGAAGGCGTGTACTATTCTGCTGCGCGGTGCTTCAAAAGATATTTTAAATGAAACAGAACGTAATCTGCAAGATGCACTTCATGTAGCTCGTAATTTGATTATAGAGCCTCGTTTGGTAGCTGGAGGTGGTGCCATCGAAATGGCTGTATCACAATTGCTATCGCGTAAACAGCTCAAAGGCCCGTACACCGCTGTGGCACATGCTTTGGAAATCATACCTCGAACTCTGGCACAGAACTGTGGTGCTAATACCATACGTACTTTAACCGCTCTGCGTGCAAAACATGCTTCCCATTCAGGTGAGAGGCGAATAGAATAGGGTAGAAGTTATCAATTTGCTAATTTTTTATTATAGGTGATGCTGTTTGCGCTTGGGGTATCGATGGTGAATCCGGTGAAATTGTTGATATGAATGTAAAAGGTATTTGGGAGCCATTGGCTGTGAAACTGCAGACTTATAAGACAGCTGTGGAGACTGCAATTTTGCTGCTGCGTATTGACGATATTGTCTCCGGTTCAAAAAAGAGAGGAGATGATATTGTGAACCCCGCCGCCGCTGCACAGGGCCAAGAATAAAGTGAAGAACAAAGGAATAAGTCTTTAAATCGTATTACAACTTCAATATCGCAAACATTTAATATATAACGGAAACAACATTTCATTTGCTTGGAACAATATTCTAATACGTTAATCTATTTTACACCCATTAATTAGTGTTTTTTATATCAAATTTATCAGTTTATTGGTTCTTTTAAATTTGCATTTGAATACCTTAAATAGAGGTTAAAGTAAGAGAATCGTAAAAGTATGTACACGATAGTTTTCAAACGCAGCATAAACGCTAGTTACGTGGTTCAAAGGGCCACGTAGATCTTACACAATTACAATTTACGCTTTCTCATTAACATTTAACAATAAAAGAAAAAAAAAATACTTAAAATTGATAATTTTATTTTCATCAGCCTGTACTAGATACTGTTGTGGTAACCAATTTTTGGGAGAATGTTAATGAAGTAACTACCGTCCATTTCTGGTTACGTAGACCCTATTATCGCCGCATTGCCCGTACTTGTGTTGCAATAGTTGTAAAGTCGTTCATCCATCAATTTCAGCACTTCTAATCCTACTGAAACGAATCGTGGTTGCAAATAACGCGCAAATATCTCTAAGCAGTTAGGCTTTTGAGGAAGTAAATCACTCAACAATGGTAAAAGCGGTGGCTTGTGTGAGTGTATAACACTTGGCACACTCAAAATTGCAGAGACTTGCTGCAAACTAGTGCAAAATTCGCCAGAGCTATCCATATGGCATGCTAGGTAGAGCATCTCAAATGGTTGTTTTTTCTGACCGCTCACATCTATGTGGCCGATTAATTGGCCGCTCGTGTTCACCTTGATCCAATGTATGGTGTGATGCAATCTTAAGTTCCATGCTGGCAGTAATTGTTCTACAATAGCCCGTTGAAGCTCCTTGGAATTCGTACACCAAATGGCAACTATGCTTCGTTCATGTTTTAACTGTCTAATGGGCATTTGAAGCAGCTGCTCTGAACTTAGCATCTGATAGCCTAGCTCCTCACGAACACGTTTTAAACGGCGTATGTACTTGTTGCGCCAAGGTGGATCTAATATAATCAAATCGAACCGTTTTGAATTCGGCATTAATTGGGGCAGCAATTTGGACAATTCCATGACATCGCAATTAAAGAATTTACAATGCGGTGGTATAAGGTAGGAGTGCTCACCAAAGCGGGAACGCTTGTATGTGGCAGTGGTATTAACGCCGTTAAATGTGGGGAAGTCTTTGGTGGATATCTCTTCCCAATAACGTGGTAAATCACTGCCATTCTGGCTTTCCACGCGATTGATTAGCTGCTGTACTTTCACGAGTCCTAAAATATCTTCGACAATCGTTTTTAGTTTTTGTAATTCCTCCACTACTGCCATTTTATTCAATTTTCGTTTCCTTTTTTTACTGGACTTTTCTGCAAGCTTACTATTTCCGGCTTTAGTCTCTGGTTGTTGAATTGTATGAGCATCCTCAACTTCTATTCTTCGTTCATGAAAGTGAAAGAGTTCAGTATGTAATTCATACTTCTCCTCCAGTTCAGCAATATCGTTGTTATATATTTTATTAATTAATTCCCGATGATCGAGATATATGGCGATTTTATTACGTATTTCGATTTTATGCATATTTAGGTACAAAATTTTAATTTTGCCGATGCGGCCGTATACTGTGGTTGATTATCCCCGTATTCGTTGTTTTTCGATCTTTGCTGTCAGCAACAGCTGTTTTTGTGCAGTCAAAGAACCGACAGCACTCAATCAGAAAATATTTTAAACCTCTCGAATATAATTAAAATGCTTCCTAATCAAACCTCGGTCTTCCATTTCTATTGTATTCCTCTAGATCGTTTGTCGCATGTTTGGCGATGAATTTGATTATGTCGTTCACTGTGCGCGTCCCTCCGGTGTATTCTATCAAATTGTTTTTATCGTCCCGCCTTACATAGTATATAGTTGGGTAGTACCACGCATAATATTTTAGTGGCAAGTAATTCAAATCTGCGTTAATTTTCACTACAATGATATCTTCATCCTGTAGGAGTTTTCCCACTTCATCCAGAATTGGCATCAGTTCTCGTGAGCAGGGGCATTTGCTACCATACAGCACTAGGAGTATATCAATATCACTTTTGAGCACCAATTGCTCAAAATTTTCTGCTACACCCACACGAACGAATCCCTCCCCATCGTCTTCCGGCAGTGGTTCAGTTTTAAACAATTCATCATTCAATAATTTTAGACTGAATTGCTTTAAGCTGTCTTCGTTTAGGGCACCTAAAAATTGATAAATGCGATTATCTGTGTCTACTGCGAATACATCGGGTCGTCGATATTTGTTAAAACCAGTCTTTTTGTACCGCTTCCAATATACTTCGGAACCAGGTCGGTAATTGAGTACGGCTTCATAGTTTTCAAAGTCTGTTATTCCAAAGCATATGTCGTCACCGTATTGCTGTGCAGACTGGAAAAGTATATCGATGTAGCCCAGTAGTTTGGCTGCATGTTCTTTAAAGCTGTGAAACATAATTATATATGGGAAGCCGGATGTTGAAATTGTTTCCGTAGTTTCCAAGTAAACTATGCGATCGGCATAGTTTTGCTGAAGTAGTTTTTCCAAGTTGGAAGGGTTTTCTGGATATAAATTAGTAGTTATTGATTCCTCCAGTGCTTCTCTCAGCTGGGCCGTTGTTATTATACCGTACAAGCCAAAACCAGTGGGATCATCGTCTACAGATTCTTCTGAATAGTATAATTCAGATGAATTATCATCATAATATTCTGTAGCTCCTTCAAGCTTTTTATTGGTTCCAGCTTGTTGTTCTTGTGCATATTTCTCCGCGTCTGCTACCGCAACAAGATCCATAAATGAGGATTGTCAAATACTGTTTAGGGCTCAAGTATTTCTGCTAGCAGCTTCCAACTCCACTTTACAACAATATCGGTGGAAAATTGATTGTCGTAATTTGTGCAAATTTTTATTGTTTAGATATGTGCGGATATGTAATAGTAGAATGTTTTGCGAAAATATATACAGGCAAGCAAAAAATGAAATATGTACAATTTGGGAATCCCAAACTCGAATGAACGTGAGCTCAAACTAATGCGGTAGAATACATTAAATTTGACGGCGTTCAATGTAGTTGTCTGAGGCGTCGCGGAACAATTGTTGTGTGTAAGTTATGAAGTGTTGTGAATTTCACCAATATAATAATTATATCATCGCCTTAAAAATTTAATTTGCGTATGTATTCGTTTTTTTGCCATCTTTTATATTTCTGGATTAGCCAACGCCGGCTTTAAAAAACTTCAGCACAATACTCTTCCTTTCTCCCGTGAAAATCACGTCTTTTTGAAGTAAACAAAAATTAGAGAGTATACTCGCTCTCTGTTTACATTGCCCAGCTGTTTTTAATGCATGATTTGTTTACGCGGAAGTAGTTTCGAGTCGGAAGCAGTGTTGCCAGAACTCTTTGGCCTACCGGCTAAATTGGGAAAAAAACGGCTAAAAAGGGCTAAACTGTTTCAACTAATGGTGATTTCGTTTTTTCCAAAAAATGTTGCCATTCCCGATGCAAAATGTGTTTGATATTACACTCAGCCCTGTATAAAGGCATGTTTTTGCCTTCTTGTCCTTGTATAGCTCACGCATTTAATATAATAAAGACAAATGTAGATCTTGTTTTTTGCCCCTCTGAAAGTATTTTCAAAATTTTATATACAAATTTTTATGCTTTAAATGCAACCGTGGACACTAGCTGGCAGGGAAATTTGTAAATTTGCGTTCGGGCAGAAATTTGCAAGTTTTGCTGTATATAGAAATTTGTGCTTTTTTATTTTCATATTGACGCATTTCAGTGTTGGTTCTTTAAATTCAAGTTGGCCTTCGGTTTTTGGGATTTAAATAAGTTCTCGCCAAAAAAAGTTTGTTTATAAAAATACATACATATGTGTACATAGCGCTTGAAAATATCAATTTTTCCTTCACCTTAAACCTTTAGGAGTGGGCAACAATGATGTTTTGCAATTAAGGCAGAATTGAATATGCGCTATCTGGGAAGACAACCTGTAATATTTATTCCGTCTTTTGGCACTATATCCGAACACAAACGCGTGTTAAGCAAACAGTGAAACAATTGCGAATAAAACTTCCCACTTAAATTTAGGCCGTAAGCTAATAGCCATTTCTAACAGATTTTGGGTCGCTTAATCAAAAATGGAAACAGATATATTTGAATTTTAAGAAAACAAGGCAAATAGCAAAATCGGCTAATATTTTTTTACAAAACGGCTAACAAATCGGCTAAACCGAAACTTCTCCGGTTGTTTGCTATCGCAACCGGCTAAATCTAGCCGGAAAACCATGAACGAAAGACACAAGATCACGCGGGACGGAAAGAACGAAAAAAGTTATTTTCTAGCTGCCGAAATCTCGACGCCATCTTTGCTGTAAGAAGTAAACAACGAAGAGAACGGAGAAAACCGCGAAATTGTTGAACGCATGAAAAATCATTTTTATTATGCAAATTCTTCTAAAAATCATGCCGTTGTGTTAAATTATTCTTTATCTTATGTGTACACACGTTGTCACAAGCGAAAATGAAGAAAATTGCAGTAAAAAGCCACCACCAAATTGTAAACAACGAAGAAATGTAAATAAACGGCTAATGTCAAAATCGTTCAACTTTTTTCCTTAATGCAATTCTAACGGGCTAGTCTCCTGCCCGCGTGATCTTGTCTTTTTGGTTCATGCCGGAAAACGGCTAAAATGGCAACACTGGTCGGAAGACCTAAAGTGAAAGTTTTTAACTTAACAGTAACGAAACCATCTTAAAAATGTAGAAGAATTTTATTAAGCTTTTTTTTTAATTTTTTGCGGTTGTTTAGTTTTTTCTGAGCGCCAGCTAATATCGCAATCGGTTACTAAATAAAAAGTCCATTAAGGGAAAGATTCTACTTAAAATATTTTGAATTGTAATTTTAATGCCTGGAAATTGTGAATTTTTTGATATATTTGCAAAGGGGACATATGCCGGCATGATAGATATGCATTTACTATCGTTCCATGCCGCAAATAAGCGAGCACAATAAAGGTAAATTGGATTTCATAAGTAAAATTTATTTTCTGAAAAAATATAAACGCGGCAAGTGTATTGTGCGTCTGCCTTCCGCTTACAAGTTGCTTTTGTTATTTTCATACATACATATAAAAACGATTACTGACATACATACATATGTACATATCAACCATGATATAACTATTGGTATCATATCAACCATTTACTTTTTAATTTTCTTAAAATCAATTAAGGCTTTTTTGGATGTTTCAGCGGATGTTTCTATACAGCTTAACTATTGCTATAAAGCATCGTACTTACATACATAAATATTTTAAAATTCGTAGAAAACATACTACATATATTTTGTTACATGAAAGTGAAAATGTTAATATGTTGGAAAAGTAATGTTTTAGCTACAAAATGAATGCGCGTATTCTTCCTTATATACGTAAAATCGTCAAGTGCATTATCGGAGTATCTTTAGCCTGCGTATTAAAGGACTCGTACATACTTACAAACATAAAAAGTAATATATCTTCAAGTCTTAAGTTTAATCCTTTATAAATTGTTAGTTAGGCAAACCAACGTATATCCTTTAGTTTATCGTAAATAGCAAAGTATAGAGCCGTTGTGATGCTAGATTTTAAAAGTGTTGGCGCCATGCCTTTGTATAAACCCGCTGGACCCTCTTGTTGTACAGTTTGTCTCAGACAACTATAAACTCCATGTGCACGTATGTTCTCGCCAAATGTCTGACGATTGGATTCAAAGCCCTGTATGTGCAGCCTCTTCTTCAACAAGTCAAAGGGATATACCAGAGACTTGGATAACATACCCGAAGAGCCACCCAAACACAGCAACACCCATGTAGGCAATGCGCTAATAAAAAAAACCATTCACATACTTTATATTCAAGTTCTTTTGTAACAGTATACGATACACATACCTTCGTTGTTCTACTTCGTAGAATTGCATAGCTGATTTGCAAAAAAGTCGATAGAGCATGAAATTTGCACCCATTAATGGTGTGATTTGCAGGAGCGCCGTATTAAGTCCGCGGTACATGCCACGTACACCCTCATTGCGAACAATCGCTGTAACTGCACGCGTTGCATTCCTATAGCCCTTATATTGATCCTGTGCTATGAGACGCGTGCGTATTACGTCCATAGGTGTTGAGAGTATTACTGCTGCTGCACCGGATGCGGAACCACAAAGAAAACTCGCTAGGTTAGCATGATCTTTGAGGTAGACTGTTTGTTTAGCGGCCAAACTGAGTTGCTCATAAGTCCAAAACTGTGAAATACCGTAAATTACGCTAAGCACCTGAGCTGGATTGTGACCTTTCCAGAAAGCGAGTACACCTTCTTCACGGTAAATAGTACGGAGAGCTTGCGCGACACTCGTGTATTTTGATTGCTGATTGACGTGCTCCTTTAGTGGTTCAACTTGCAGCTGGAAACGAATTTTTAGGACATCTAGTGGCTGGCAGAGTGTACGCGTAATGGCGGCAGCTAAACCACCTGCTATTATTTGACTCGCTTGCTCCGATGCACTATGTCTTTTCCATTTGTCTTTTATGTATGTGGTAAAGTCAGGCGCTGGGCGTTGGTTGTCGATATCCAGTGATTGTGATTGGGTAGTGTCCTCACTACTGCTAGCTGCTGTAATTTTACTTGCTTTAGAGCTTTCTAATTGTATCGCCATTGCTGCGGTCGAAAGGGTCCAACTCTGTTTAGCAGTGTGTTTGGCTCTTGTATTATATTTAGGTATTTTCTGCTTTTGCTTTCTGAAAGGAAAGTACAATGTATTGATTAAATTATTATACTGTATGCCAAGAGTTATCAGAAGATTCATGTAAAAACCAACGACCGATTTTGGATTCCCAAAAGAGGCATCAAAAAATCAATTATTTTATGTTCCTGCATTGCTCCGCATGATAAGGCAATCTTTTCAAGCTGTCATCGATGGCGACTCAAATATACATATGTACATACATATACATATGTACTTAAGTTATTTTAAATATGTATGAGAAAATGACACCTTAAGGTCAAGTAATTTTCCTTTCACTTAGTCACGGAAATGAGTTTCGTCTTCCAATTGACAGTGTTAAACTCACTGTATTTAGTATAAACAGCAAAAGCTGAAGAAAGCGAAAGCCGTGCTTTGCACACCCCGCTTTGCTTTGTTTTCTTGTATTCGTTTTTTATTGCTGCTGTTATTTTTTTGTAATAGCTGGTGTAGTACTGTTCGGCAGTACTTTATGTTATTTGTTAAGCCTATTTGAGGCCAAATTTATGACGTCGGTAACGTGCAAAACTTTAATAGAAATACCTTTGACTACATCATTGTTATGCAATTGTATGAAACAGCGAAGCGTATGCATGTTTGTACATACATGTTTATACATTTATGTACATAGTATGTACTACATACATATATTGAGTATACTCGGCTTGTTTGTGCAGTTTTAAATTATTACGTCGATTTTTATGTACGTTGAGCATAAAATTTAAGATGCGGTAAGTTGCATGGAATTATTTTATGTATTTGTTGTATGTTTTGTTTATGCTTATGTGCTTGTACAAATAAAAATGTTAAAACCAGCNAATATTGAGTATACTCGGCTTGTTTGTGCAGTTTTAAATTATTACGTCGATTTTTATGTGCGTTGAGCATAAAATTTAAGATGCGGTAAGTTGCATGGAATTATTTTATGTATTTGTTGTATGATATGCAGCAGTGGCCTGTGTTTTGTTTATGCTTATGTGCTTGTACAAATAAAAATGTTAAAACCAGCTTGCGACTTCACGGGGCAAATACGTAAATTTCACCACAAAATTGTTTTCTCTGCGATTGTATTTTCTTCATTTGGTCGTTATTATAATTATCTGATTTCCTGATTGCTTCTGAACTCCAAATGCACCTTCAATTTTTAATTAGTTCCCCTAAACACTTACAACGATACAAAGCTTGATCAATAGTAACTAATAGTAAACCAATATTTACCTTATAAGGATCTGCACAAACTCCTTAGAAGAGATTCACCAAGGTAATTGTAGGGATGTACCTTGCATCAAGATACACTGGAATTCCGTCCGCTTAGACGTGTACTACCACACTGTGCAGTGAAACTTTCTTTTCGCTGCCACCCGAAATATTGGAACACGCATTCATGAGTAAACAAAACTAGTTGATATATGCTACAACTATTGCTGCCACTGCTGTCGGTCTTCGTGTATACCGATAGTGCCAACGCTGCTTGGAAGATTGTTGCCGCTCTTTACAGACGACTTCAGTTGGCAGTCGGAAGTTTTGTTTACAGTTTCACATTTATTTGTGAACAAACTGGTTTACTTGCAATCTCTCAATGTTTTTTTGCAAGTTATATCTTCCAATCTCGATTTTGTGATGTATTTTCTTTGATTATAGTGAAATTCCCTTCGTTTCCAATTGTATGAGTGTATGTGCACGTCCACTTGTGCTCTCTCAAAGCAGCCACCGCGTCAGCTGATCACCTGGTACCAGGGAGGCCAACTCTCTTAAGGCTAATTGCTGAAACAATTTCCCTATTTTTAATGAAATTCCCCCGATATGAATTTCGCTACATATTTAAAGCTCTTCATGCTAATTTTTAATGAAAAAAGAGACAAATATATCATTAATTGTGATATATAATAAAAAAAAATCGCAAACGAACCAGAAAAAAGAGCGTCAAACGTAATCGTGGAAAAAGTGAAAAATGTCGCTATCAGTGTTGCCAGAAAGTTTCAGGCTTATTGCTAAGTTCTTCGAAAAAATAGCTAAAAATAGCCAAATCATTTGTTTCATATCCAATCGAAATAGCTAAAAAGAAGTTCCTTCAAAAATTAAATAATTTGATTATTATAACGCAAACAAATATGAACTTAAACATTTAAATACGTTGAATTGGAGTAGTAAAATACCTTATAATTATGACCACGCTCGGAAATATACTTTTTTCTTGCTTCTTTGAATAGGTTATCTTATTTTGTTGGTTCATGACCTGGTACCAGTGTTCGGAATGTATTCCGTAATCGAAATGTGTCAAACTTGGCTACATTCACATACACATACATGCGCATCCTATTTGCTTGCCTTTTGATTGGTCGAACGTGTTTAAATTTCTTTCTGTTTTGACATTCGAGGTTTCTCAAGCAACAACAAAGTACATGGCTGGGTTGTGTTTGCTCTACTGATATTACCTTGGTTGCAATTCATCAATTTAAGCTTATATTTTATGGAAAATTACACACAGCAGCAATCTTTGCGATTGTCAAAAGTTTATATGCATTTGTCAAAAATTTTACTAGCCATACTTGTCAAAAATTTACTTTCCGGGAACTTTGTTACCGATTCACATACGCCCTCAATAGTAGATGCCACAGTATAATACACCTTTTTGACTACTCCTCGGGGGGTAAAATCTGATCAGGGCTGATAATGAAAAGTAGCATGAATTTTGCTGATTCAGAGTTGTATACAAAATTACTGTATTTATTTTCTAATCTTCAGATATCCAGTTTGTAGCCAGAGGCAGTGGCAGGTGAGGCCCACTAAAATCTACTCATCATGTTCGAGCACCTCCGGGTAATGGACCATTGGATGTGCTAGCGGAACGTATGACCACCATGACCAACGGAGTCTCCAAGCAAATGCATGTCCTGAATTTATCCGGTAGCAATTCACAGCAATTACTGATGTACAAATGTGTGTATGATTCATATTTGTGACATTTTATATTTTGCTGTTAAGTATTTTTGAGGAGCTCCGGAAGCCTTAGTTATGTACTTAACTATTGAAATTCTTCTATAATATTGTTACGATTAGCCTTGAAACCTCGTCCGGATTTCCCAAATATTTCGGTTAGTATCGCTGGATTGTTAAATAAATGCTAACGATGACCAAATTGTAGTACAATTAACTTTATTGTACAACAAACAATTTACAATACTCGCTAATACAGTAAAAACACTTCACAATACTTGTTAAAGCAATAACAATGCTTTACTAATCTTGTTAACACAATTAAATTTATAGCTTGCTTATCCTCAACTCCCTTCTCTGCTCACTCTACTTGTAGCTTGCTGACTTGTAACTAACCCACTCCGCTGTGTGGGGGCTCTTATACACTACGTCATTTAGTCGTTTTACGACCTTATACGGACCTTCCCAGTTGCATTGTAGCTTTGGGGACAAACCTTTCTTCCGTTGTGGATTTTACAGCAACACTAGATCTCCTTCCTGGAAACCCTCGGAATTCATCGCCTTATCATACCTGGCTTTGATCTTGTCACTCATAATTTGCGTCTCACAAGCGCATGTATCTCTCTCAGCTCCTCTTCCAGGATGTTTGACGTCTCTTTTCCAATTCTTCTAGCATCACCAGTTACTCCAAACTTCACGTCACTAGGCAAACGGAGCTCACTGCCGAACACTACCCTTGCAGGAGTTTTACCCGTTGTTTCATGCACTGCTGATCGGTATCCCATCAGGAACAAGGGTATGCGGACATCCCAATCTTTTTGATTCATGTCCACGACCTTCCGCAAATTATCTTCCAGGGTTCGGTTGAACCGTTCCACCATTCCATCTGATTGTGGATGAAGAGCCGTTGTTCGAGTTTTCCGGATACCCAATATCTGGCACATCTCTTGGAACACCGCAGATTCAAAATTTCTTCCCTGGTCAGAGTGCAGCTCTATAGGTACACTGTATCCCGCAACCCAATTGTAGGTGAATACCTCCGCTACTGTTTTAGCTTCCAGGTTTGGAATCTGGTATACCTCCGGCCATTTGCTGAAGTAGTCCATAACCACAAGGACATATTTGTTTCCCTGTGCGCTCATAGAAAATGGACCGGCTACATCCATGGCAATCCGCTCGAAAGGTGCACCTGAGTAATACTGCTTCATCTGGCCATGACTTCTGGATTTCGGCCCTTTAGCTGCAATACACTCCGCGCAGTTAGCAATCCACTCTGCGACCGATTGCCGACAACCAACCCAATAGAACCTCTGCTTAACCTTCTCCAGGGTCTTCGTGATTCCCAGGTGCCCTCCACTAGGACCATTGTGGAATTCCTTGAGTACATCCGGAATTCTTACCCTTGGAACTACTATCAGGTTGCGGGAGCACTGGCCATCTTCGCTTTCCCATACCCTATGCAAACAGCCAGATATTAATTTTAAGCTGTTCCATTGTGCCCAGTACGCCTTTGCGATGGGGCTTTCCGCTGCCATTTGCTCCTTAGTTGGCCTTCTGTCCACCTCCAGTCCATGCATCAAAAGCTCCAGATCAGGATCTTCCTGCTGACACTTTCGTAGCTGTTCTTCCTTCCACTCTTCCGCTGGTGTTATTGTCGTTAGACGGACGTCTATAATGTCCTCTTTTCCCTCAGCTTTTGAGCAGTGTTTACATTCCAGGCTACATGGTCGGCGGGACATGGCATCAGCATTACCGTGGACACTTCCCTTGCGGTGCTCAATAGCGAAGTCATAACTTTGCAGTCTCTCAATCCACCGAGCTAGCTGTCCTTCTGGATTCTTAAACTGTAGTAGCCACTTCAGCGCTGCATGGTCCGTTCGAACTCGGAAACGTTGCCCATAGAGGTACTTGTGGAAATGTTTGACGCAGTCCACCAACGCTAGTAGTTCTCTCCGAGTTACGCAGTAGTTCCTCTCTGGTTTTCCAATCGACCGGCTATAGTAGGCAACTACCTTCTCCTGCCCATCAATTACCTGCGACAGTACGCCTCCTATGGCATAACCACTAGCATCCGTATCCAAAATAAACGTTGCACCTGGAACGGGATACGCTAGCATAGGTGCAGTACATAGTCGTTCCTTCAGAGTCTGGAAAGCCTCCTCCTGCTCCTTGTTCCACTCGAAGGCTCTATTTTTCCTAGTGAGCTCGTGGAGGCTATTAGCAACGCTGGCGAAATTCGGAACAAATCGGCGGTAGTAGGTGCATAGCCCAAGAAAACTTCGTAGTTCGTGCAGGTTCCTAGGTCTTGGCCAATCCTTTACTGCTTCTATCTTTTCCTTCGCAGTACAGATGCCCTCCGTTGTCACCTTGTGCCCTAAGTAGTTCACCTCCTTCCTGAACAGTGAGCACTTTTTAGGACTTAGCTTCAGACCAGCGCCAGCTATCCTCTGGAAAACTTCTTCCAAATTGTTCAGGTGTTCCTCAAAGCTTTTACCCAATACGATAATGTCGTCTAGATACACCAAACATGTTTTCCAATGCAGTCCTTTGAGCACATGGTCCATAAGTCGTTCAAAAGTGGCAGGAGCGTTGCATAATCCAAAGGGCATCACCGTGAATTGCCACAGACCGTCTCCAACGCTGAAAGCTGTCTTCTCCTTATCCTCGTCACTTACCTCCACTTGCCAATAACCGCTCTTAAGGTCGAGTGTTGAGAACCACTTTGTTCCAGTCAACGAGTCCAGAGTGTCATCGATCCTGGGAAGAGGATAGCTGTCCTTTTTCGTCACATCGTTTAGTTTCCGGTAGTCTACGCAGAACCGCATTTGACCATCCTTCTTCTTCACAAGTACTACCGGCGAACTCCATGGACTCGCTGATGGTTCAATCACACCACTCTCGCTCATTTCGTTTATTATTTGGCTAACAGTTTCACGTTTGGCAAATGGAACACTCCGAGGAGCTTGACGGATTGGCCTTGCATCGCCAGTATCAATGCGATGTTTCACAACGTTAGTCCTGCCTGGTTTGTCGCCATCCTTGTCGAATATGTTGCAGTATCTTCGGAGAAGTTCCTTAGCCTTGTGCTGGTATTTTTCTTCCAACCCTTCCGTCCATGCATTAATGTCTTCCGCAATGTCATTCTCGCCAATGGAATCGCTTTCAGGTAACTTTTCGCAGTTGAAGATTGCCTCTACCTCTCGACATTGCCCCAGTACAGTTCCTCTTCGGAGTTTGACTGGTGATTTGAACTCATTGAGCACTCGAACTGGGATGCGTCCATCCTTTTGCGTCTTAGCCAGGGTTTTACCAATAAGTACGTCCGGTGTAGAATTTTGTGTTGCTTCAACAACCCACAATTTGTTTGTCCCACAATCTCCATCAATCTTTGCCCACACAACTGCTTCTGACTTCGGTGGAATCTGCTCGCTTTCCTCTAGGATCACTCGCTTGCTGCTGTACGGACCATCATACCCAAACCTAAGGGGCACTTCCATGTTGTCGTACGTCATGATCCTGTTCTTCATGTCGATCTTCATACCTTGACCAAATAAAAAGTCTAATCCAATGATGACTTCATCCATAATCGCCGCGACTATGAACATGTGTAACACCGTCACATTCCCTATTGCGACTTTGCATGTTACCTCCCCTACAACTTGGGTGTCCTCACCAGTTGCTGTCCTCAACCTTGCTCCAGGTAATGGCCTTACCTCTTTAGTGACCAAATCAGATCGAATGATGGAATGTGATGCGCCCGTATCCACAGTTAGTACTCGCTCATGTCCGT